AGACGTGTGGCCACATCAGCTCCTGACAATAGACTTACTGGTCAGCAACTACAGATATCACTCTCACACACATAAGCCATACCACTGTCTAGTTGCTGAAATAGAATGATAGGTCTAATGGGAAAAAAAAGAATAAAACTGCAAATCAACACCTCCCATCACCAACTGATATTAACCCAATTTCTTTACGAACAGTTACTAATTGGTTATTGAAGTTCACTCCTAGATCCATGTGCTCCAAATTATGTTATCTATTGTTTAGTCAGCACATCTGTGGGGGACTGTGCTAACATATCTAATGCATATTTTGTACTACATGGCATCACCTTCCCCGGTTATTCTGATAACCATAGTTACCAATATTTGTATCAGTCGTGCTTTCCACATGTCCATCTAAAAGAGTTAAGCCACTTTTAATTCGAACAATCTAATAAAAATAAAACTAATTAGAGATATAGATAAACAGAAATAATCTTTCTGCCAAAGTCATCTATCAATTACATTTTGTGTTGTCAACTACACAATACATATAAATATACTTAATCCAATACAATAGGCACGCAGATTGATTGCAGCATTACTTTCAATATCACATCACAGAAATCGCAAATTTCAACGTAGCATTTTCATTTAGGGTACTTTAAAAACTCACTAAATCTGATAAATTGTCATTATTTTTTCAGCCAACTTACAACTCTAGCAACTGGTCAAGCAGTTAATCCCAATCATAATTATCAGAAGGTCGGTGTTAGTATCTCAGCCTATTTGCTACTCCTCTGATATTTCTTCATCCAACTCCTCTCTGATAGTCATATAAGTACTGCCCATTTTTATTCTCCCCGTCAACTGAGTTTAGACAATAAGACACGGTGTTTTCATGTTCAGTCAACATGTTCATCCACCTCTGATTCCTGGAACAACGGATTTCAAGAGGCTCATTGTAAATGTAGAGTTTAAGCTTGTTCGAATATTTGATCATTTACGAACACCATGCAGCCACTGTAATTCATAACATACCTTTCTGAACTAATGGTAGACAAAATGCAATACATTCTAGCCAGAACTGAGATGCTTGTGAGTTTCCAGCTGTACTACAGTGAAATTAAGACACCAATATTAAACTTTTATTATATTAATGTTTATTTATACCATCTCCTTTGAGGTAAGAATGCTTAAAGAATTGTTGATGTGTAAATTAATGGGCATCAACAATTGAATAATGCAGCCATTACACATATTATAGGGAACATTGTAGTACATCTTCACTGAGTGGAGGATCATATATTATAATGCGTTATAATGTGACGGTCAGTCCCACTATTCGTTGGTAAAAGAATAGCCCAAGAGTTGGCGGTGGGTGGTGATGACTAGCTGCCTTCCATCTAGTCTTTCACTGCTAAATTAGGGACGTCTATCGCAGATAGCCCTCAATGGTATGTTTACAGAGTCGCAACGCTAAAATCCGGGGTTCAATCCTTGTGGTGAACAGAGTGCAGATAGCCCATAATGTTATGTAGCTTTGCATTAAGAAAATAAAAATTATTACCTGGGATGATATTACCGTAACATCCAAGATGAAAAGATTAACGACTTTAATATCCTTTGCTAGCCAAATCTACACTGTCTGTATGTTACAGCCGACTAGTGATGTGAGAGAATAAGGGTCATCAGGTGACACTGTCAACTGGACAAAACAAAAACGCGTTTACATGTTAAATGCAGGCGTTTTCTCTTAGTTCACTTTCTACCTGGAGGTCGACACGTGTAGTCATATTTCGAGATCAGCGTATTTATTTCGACATAAGTCTCTACAGAGAAAACGGAAGCTGTGAATCTAATCCAAATCCAGCAGATGCAACTGTCTTTTCGTGTGCGCAAGTACGCACATTGTGTTTTTTTTCTGTCTGTTTGATAATAAAGACTGTGTTCAGTTTCTAAACTTGTTCAGTCTCATTTTCACACGCACTAGGAAAATTCAGTCAACTTATCAAACACAGACTAATCTCTTTACTTCCTGAATAAATCTGCTGTTTTAAACGGGTTTAACTATCCGATACCCATCGGAAAATTAGTTTCCACCTGAAAAAAACTACACTTGCTAGAAAACTCTAGCAAGTGTAGGTTTTTCAGGTGGAAACTAACTAACAAAATGTTGTATTTTTATATAACAGAATACCTTTTCCTTTTTTTCAAAAAAGTACAGGTATTTTGTGTTTGTTTGTTATTAAGCACAAAACTACACAATGGGCTATCTGTGCTCTGCTTACCAAAGATATCGAAACCTGGATTTTCGCAGTTTAAGCTGTGAGACTTACTGCTGATCCACTGAAAGGCTAAAGTAGAGGCATTGAATTAAGAAGAATATTATTATACATATTTTTCTATTAATAACAATGTAATGTTAGTACGATGGAGTGAAAAAGTTTTATAATTCGCACTGAAATATTTACTTGGTTTGTTTTTGGATATTTGCACAAGGCTACTCAATTGCTATTTGAACTTACCATTCTTAATTTTAAACTGATAGACTAAAGAAAAGGCAGCTAGGCAACAACACCCACCGCTAATTCTTGGGCTACTTTATTCTGACCGAACAGTGAAATTTGACCATCATCCTTATAATATACCAACGGCCCCAAAGTGCAATGGCATGAGACATGAACTATCGAAGATTTATAATTCAGCATATAAACCACCGGGCAAAGCTTCGATATATTTACTTGGATGATTAGAACCTGTTCCAATAGTTGTATAGGCTTTTATGGATAGACGTGTCTGTTTCGGGCTTTTGAGAATTTAGTAAATTATGTCTATGATTTTTATTGACTGTTGTGTGATATAAAAGCTTTTTGTATTTATCTACCACTTACCATAAACTTTTATGTGCTGGTTGACCACTTCTTGGATCACATAATTTAATATTTTAGCCAGGTGGCACGCATGTAGATTTTGTTGAAGACCCATACCCTGAGATCTCCACAAGGAAGTCCGGGAATATAACCAGGATGTCAGCTGGTGAAGTAATGATAAGACCAATTAAAGCAAGCCACAAGTCTCCAAGACTGGCACTTTCACCTTTAAAGTTGTATACTTTCCATTCCCAAATATGAATATTTCAAACAAGTTATGTTAGAATGCTGACTACTCTCAGCTTATTAGATACAACAGAATGTGTTCATCATTACAACACCCCAGTGGCACAGCGGTATGTCTGCGAACTTACAACGCTAGAATCCGGGTTTCGATACCCGTGGTGGGCAGAGCACACATTGTGTAGCTTTGTGCTTAATTACAAACAAGCAAACATCATCATTACAAGATTTTGGTGAAAGAGCTCGTAATCCACTCTCATTTTTCATAATCAAGATATCACACTATGAAAATTTAACTCAAAATGCTATCAATATTAGAGAACATTCAACAGTATTCTTGTTAAAGATTTTGGGTTTAAAAGTTTTATAGAGTATCACAGCCTCTTTATAACTTTCACGTCTATACTTTGATTCCTTGATTGTTGTGCATTATCAGTTCAGAATTGTATTTAGGACTAACCTAAGTCTTCTAAACTAACAAAAACTCACAATATCTTATTGAATTTAAGTCTGAAAGTATCATTAACAGCGAGGGTGTCCATCTTATAAAACATTATAATCTTTATATATAGAAACGCACGAAAAGTTTGTTTGTTTGTTTGGATTTCGCG